CTTGGATTTGTTAGTTTCTCTTCCTCTTCTTCTCTTCCCTACTATTCTTCTTTACCTCTTATCCCTCCATTTTCTCCTCTTTCAGATGAAGTTTGCCTCACAAAAATGGAAAGGATTGCATAAATGGCAAACATGAACAGCCCAGTACCCACCCTTTACACATATTAAACTAACTGTACAAACCCATAGAGGGTATAATGAGGTGAAAATCATCAGGAATTCAGTTTTCCCCTGGTTGTCTAGAAGCTCTTTGTTTTCCAGACTTTTGACTTCTGGTGAACAAGAAGTTTAATCTCTAAGTATTCATTAATTTCTTTGTGAAATGGACATCTGAAATAGTCAAAGGATGTTTCACGAGGGGCTGGGGTACTGTAGCTGAAGTTCAATGGTGGCCTTGGACCACTTCTGAATCATGAGTCTCTTTTGTCCAAAGTCTGATTTTTGTTCTGTGTTTCTATTTCATTCATGTGCCACATCTTCCGTATTGTCTGTGAGGTCCGGTGGTGAGGGCCTTGATGATTTTAATGGAAAAGTGAAGGAGCTGGAGGGAAAGCAGTAGGAAAGACATTTTTTTTAAAAATGCATAACTTGGGTGGTATTTTATAAGTCTCTCTGCTATTGATTTTTATTAAGGATGGTTTTTTTTTGTTTTGTTTTGTTTTGTTTTTTTGTTGTTGTTTGTTTGTTTGAAAATATTCCATTTGAAAATGTAGAATGAAAAACATTCTGAGAAGGTCAAGAGAGGGAGTGCAGTGGCATGGCAGGCATAATAACTTTTAGTAAATTACAGAAATTTCATCATAACTGAGTTGGAAACTCCTAATAGTTAGAAAATTTTCCCTCTGTGAAATCACCAATAAATTGAGTTATCCTTGTGTATGAAATGAAGCAATGTGTAGCAGAGAAGGAAGCCAGAAGCAATAAAAACACAAAAGATGAACTGGAGCTCTCTGTTATTAAAACACTGGTCTTTTTACGGACCTAGACCTCATTTTCTAACATACTGTGTAAATTAGGGCTTATATATGATAATGGCTTGTAAAACCAGCAAGTTTTTTATAAAGTAAATCTTTTATTTTAGCTACATCTCCAGGGCAAATAGTAACCTACAATGTCATGTTTTTATTCCCTCTCCCTCCTACTGTTAGGTGGGAGGAGAAAACTCTCAACATACAGTGCATACTTTCTTTCTTCCTTGGAGTTAGCTGGAAGAAGGCGAATAATGAAGGGTCTTGGTGCAACATCCCTGCAACTAAATGGACATGGATGATATGACTCGTTCCCTCCCCAGTGCAGTGAAGAGGCTGGGAAGGAACCATTACCTTCTGGACCAGCATAAAATGCTACTCCTGGCTATGAACAAATAAGCAAATTCATCATTCCTATGCATTATAAGTGTCAAGTAAACTGTTCATTGACTTCCTTCATGACTTCAAACACAACGTCAAGTTGCTGCACATCAGCTGAACTGCAGTAGGTGGTTGTGTGCTTGTTTCTAGCTGTTGGCAAAGTAAGACCTTTTCTTAAACTTAAATAAAAGAGATTTAAATTAATTCACATTTTCAGTGGGCTAAGAACCAACACACAGTTTATTACTAGCACAGCTGACAGGGAATTCATCATGCTATTGCAACTCGATCATGTAACTGGCCCCTTCTGTAATATCTTATAGTGATAAGACAGACTGTAATGGGATTTGATGTAAGCATTATCCAGGTTACCCTGGTGAAAACACTGAAAAACTGAATGTAGTTCATGGTACAAAAGGCAGCTTCATTAATAATTATTCTGCACAGGTAAGGAAGGAAAGTATTCCCTATAACAGGAGAATGAACTAGGCTGCATTAGCAGAGACAAACTCTGCTTTAGCTTCACTAGTAATGTCCTAAGCCAGCACTGTGTGGTGTCACGAGAACCCTTCAGCAAATACAGCCCTGGTTACAGGTCTATCATAGGCATTCTTAAAGTTCCTCTAAAAAAGGGTGGTGCTGCAGCTCACTAGATTCATGTAGCAAAATTCTAAGGACTCTCAAAATTATGTTTTTGCCATTCTGCAATTTAGTCTAAACTGATCTGAGTCAGCCCAGATTTTAGCATGAAGATATAACCTAATGTCAAAACATTGAGGTTTTTAGGCATAACTGTATTGTCTCAAGCTTGTAAAGTTACCAGCAATCATTGAAATTTGTCTGGTTTTCTTCCAGCTTGGCTGTCTTTCTCCTCCTGTTGATGGGGGTTAGGTGTGATGCTGCATTGAGATTCTCATTGACATCCACCATAATCAATGTTTCTAATCAGCGTTGCTCTGCTGGCATTACATGCGGAACAGAGCAGAGTGCTCAGTCAGCACAACACAGAGACTGGAGGAAAATGAAGAAGGGAGGGGGAGAGAGGCAGGGAAGAGGCTGGAAACAAATTAAAGAGTCAAGCTTGAAAAGGCAGAAAAAGCAATCTTCAGGTATTTGTTGCAATTCAACAGGAATGTGGCTAGATTGTGCACTTAACTTCACGCCTTCTGTCCCTGTGAGTACTTTATCATTCTTGTTTTATTGGCATCAGTGTCTGCAGCAGCATGTGCTTGAATTTGATGTGCTCAGCTATTCACTGGAAGTATAATCTGAAGCAAACTAGTGATGCAAATGGTAGTTAGCAAAGATGGCCACTCACAGAAAACCACTCGAAATTTGGTATTGTATTCTGTATTGGAGGTTGATTTGTGACCACTATGCAATTTTCAGACTATCCTAAAAGTGAAAATAATCACAAGTTTCAAATAAAATATTATCTTGAAAATGCTGTATTCTACTGAATAAACCAGGAAAAAAATGTAGTTCAATAACTGAACTAAACATAGGGGATTACATTGAGGTAGAGAGAAGTGAGAAGAAACACAAGAAAAAAAATATACATAAATGAAGCAGCTGGAAGCAGAAAAAGTGGATGATAAAAGTTTGTCTTAAATTTATGTAACAAAGCAATGCTTCAGGTACCAGTACCCTTTTATAAGACTGGAACAATACGGATGCCTAAGTGTTCACTCTGCATGGGCTGTTAGAGAGTTGACAGTGTGTCATTAAATATACAGTTCTACCAGACTTACCAGGCCACGTTTAATGAGCAAAAATGTTTCCTTTCGGAACTTCATCTCTGTTCCTCAATTTTCTACCTCAGGTCTTCTGTCAGACATCTGCTAGTCAATGAAAACAAGCTTTAAAAAAGCCCATTTGACACAAGGCTTCATGTAAACTCAATTTTTTATTAGTCCTTTCCAGTTCACAAGTGACATGTTGATATTCTGTTCCTATAGTTAGTCAGAGCGTTTTTGGTTTTGGCCATATTAATGTTTCTTGTTTAAATTCTATATTTGTACTCTTTTCAAAAAGTGAAGCTCGATTATTTTTATTTTAGTAATCAGTGACTGATTTTGTGAACTAATGTCAGTTCACTGGAATTACTTTAGTTCAGCAGCAAATGGGAAAAAGAGCCTCTGTATTGATGCTATGTGCCAAGTAGATTATGCTCCTTAAAAAAGATACATTGTCTCGTTCTTGTGTGTGTGAGGATGATTCAAAATTATTTCATTATATATCAAAGGCTTTCCTCTGTCTTTAGATCTTTATCAAATACTTTTGTGAGACACTTTTAGAAGGTTCTGACTTCATGAGGGTAATAAGATGGTTCTCTTTGAAGAAAACCTAAACCCACAAATGAAAGAATATGTGCTTTTGAAATGCCATAAGAAGAGTTTTTATACCGATACAGAGGACTGTTCAGGAAGAATATGATCTGCTTAGAAGCAATTATCATTTAAGATTTTAAACAACAGCATTTACAGAACACATTTTAAAAATAGCTATCTATTTCACAGTTACAAGTCTATAAAGCTCTTTGACATGGCAGAGATCTCACTTCTAAGAGCTAGAGACCATGCCCGCAGCAGTCATAGTAAGTTTGTTGAATGAAAGGTATTTCACTTAGGAAAATTAACTTTAGCACAACACACACTTTCCTTAGGGGAACAATAACGCATAGAGAACCTACTCATTATTTTTAAGCTGTTGGATAGGAGATTAAAAGGAGGGATAGGGCTAGCAGTAGCAGCTAGAATATTTTCTTACCACTAGTTCTAGATTAGTTTGCACATAGTTTGTATTCATTGCGTTCCTCAGCTGACTATGTACAAGGTTTAAAGTGACTGCAAAGATGTATGGTCCAGTACATGGACATACAATGCATGAGTTCCAGGATAGGTGTTGAATCAGTGATCATACTTATCTCTTGATTCCACTTGAAGCTTCATTAGCCTCAGAAAAAGTTGAACGAAGTAGAATAGAGTCACTGATATCTATTTGCCATTTGTACTTAAAGAGCATGTTTCAAATTTTGTTGAGTATACAGCTTGCTTTTTTTCATGGATCCTTAATTTTTGTTTAGGGTGTGTCTGCATTATCAATTTGGTTTGGAGCAGTAACATGATTCTGAAGTGATTTTTCCAATTTTACTCCATTTTCCTCATGGGTTTTGGGTTTATAAGTGGTTCTGAGAACATAAATTTTATTCTGGTCAGGAGAAACTGACATACTTTCATATACACTGGGGACAGAAGGTCTCAGATCCATGTGTGGGGTGCTAAAGTCCTCCAGGGGTGACTGATGCATGCTCGTCACCAGAAGACTCTTAAACCCTCCAGCTCCTGTGAAACAGTGGTGTTTCTTGTACTAAACAGAGGACATGAACTGTAAGTGGTTTCCCGTTTTCTTTTGATTGCCAACCCTTTATTGTTTATCCACCAACGGATATGCCTCCTGTAACCCCCTCTTCAGCTGCCTAGTTTTCAAATATAAAAAAGTTTCCCTGCTTTGTGCATCCTTTCTTTGCTCTATTCCTCCTTGTCAAATCTTTTTCTTTTCTTCTGTTTTATCCTTGCCCAGTTTCTTCTTAAAATGGACTGTGCCATTTTGATAGATAGACAGCATAAAATTCAAAGAGAAGAACTCTAATGGGAGACTTTTACTGCTGTCTTCAACAACCTCACTGCAAACTGCAGAAAGAGCCAGACTATACTCAGAGATGTACAGTGGTAGGATGGGAGGCAACAGTCATATATTATAACAAGAAAATTTCCAGTGACATATCAAGAAAAAATGCCATGAAGGTACTAAAACATTAAAGGACATTGCCCGGAGATGTGGAGTTTCCACCCTTGGAGTGATTCAAAGCTTGGCTGGTCACAGTCCTGAGCAACTTGATGTTTGTTGGCCCTGCCATAGCTGGGAAGTTGGACAAGGTGTTCTGCAGACTTCTCTTCCAACTTGTATCATTTTGTGAAAGGTAAGTTCCCCTCACTCTTGAGTTGGGTACGGTTTTGTCTCTCCTTGAATGAAACTTCAGTGTGCATATGCTCTATTTGTTCCAGTCTGTGGCTTAACTAATGCTCAGAGTAGCTAACATCTGCTTTCAGTCCAACCGAAGCAGTGGCAGTATGCCTTGGAATGAGTGTGCTTTTATGTAACTAGTGTGCAGTTGGAGGTATGTAAAATAAACAAACCAACCCCCCCAAAAAAACCAAAAAGCAGAAAGAGACCCAACCAACCCTTCCCTCCAAGACACAGCCCCCAGCTTGCTACGTAAGAGAGATGCAGGATATGTGTGGATATTATAAAGATAAATTTACCACCAAGCTCCTTTAAACCTAATAGTTTTCTTGGTCTTTAATGTTCTGTGGATTTTTGGAGGACTTAAATTCAATGAATATATATCTTCAGTGTTTTGTGGGTTACATGAACTACAGGCTCTTCAGTGTTTTGTGGGTTACATGAACTACAGGCCTTAGATATGAAAATACAGGATACATATTGTCACTCTTAGCAGGAACGTGGCTCAGAGACAGCTTCCTTAGACATACCATGGGAATACAATTTGTTTGTATCAGTCTTTATTTTCTTTGAAGCAGTAATTTGCATTAGCTTAAACTATACTGAAGTAATCCATCATTGAGAGCAATACGTCTATACAGAGATTTCCAGAAATTTAAATAGATCCATTTAAAAATCCCATGTATGAAGACTTCAGTAGCTCTACAAGAGCCCTGGATCAGAGACACAGCCATGAGATAAAAAGGCAATTGGCTCTAATGGAAAAGAGCAGTGTAAAAGCATATATATGGGATATAGAGTAATAAAATACCTCAGCACCTCTAAAATAGTTTACCTGCCTCAAAAGATGACTGCCACCAGGAAGAATAAAGTTCCTTACTTCTAAAGTAAAATGGAAAGCTTTTGCTAGTGTCATTGAAATTGAGATCTACCTTAAAAAGTTTGTCCCAGCAAAGCTGTTAAGCATTTGTTTCACTTCGAATCAGTGAATAATTGCATTCATTTTTGTGGATCAGGGCCAAAGAATAATCATGTTGAATTAATTGACAGTGCAACAGATATTATGGCATAATTCCCACAATTGCACATACTGAAACTGATGAACTAGTTTTTCCTTCCTCTGCTGAGTTTTCCTCCTGAAATGTTGCTGCTATGTTTTTGCTTTCATCTCACCTCCATTTTATATGGTGTTAGTTTTTTTGCTGCTTATCTTTTGACAAGTATGTTTTAAGACTGGTTACCACACAATCACTTTTGGTATATTGTTTGAACTGATGTCAATATCTGTCTGAAAGCTTTACTCTGAAATGTAACATAAATGTACTTTGATTCCAGCATATTTGTATCTCAAACCATTAGTACCTGATGTTTCATTTTTGCCTTCTGATATTAGAAAAAAACAACTTGGAAAATAAAACTTCTCAAATCCTAAAGGAATAAAATTATTTTTAGGACTCCTCCCACAGCTATATATAGAGGACATTTTAATAGGTACTAACAAATACTTGCAAATAAAAATAATTGCAAAAATTCCAGTTTTATGAGTAGTTCTCAGGCATCATGTTTTATGAAATGTCATTTTTTATAGATAATATACTTTAATCAGTTTGGGGACCTTACCATCTGTGCTATGGGAAAAATACTTCAATTTCTCTTAATTATTCCTGTGATTCATGAGTTATGACCTTTCTCAGGGACAAAAATAAATGCCAGTTCTTCCAAGAACGAAATGTGCACAGTGGAAATACAGAACCCACACAATGGCATTAAAGCAATCAATGTCCTGAAGTGAGTAGATCAGTAGAGACACCAGGGAGCAAATATACTGCATTCAGTTTGACAGTTGCAATGGTTTGATTATATACTGTAGTGGATAAATATCCCTGTAATTAAGCAGGAATATCATGAGCAGTTTAGATGGAAATAACAGCAAAGCCATGCTCTGGGATATCACAGGAAAAGTAAAAAAACACTAGTAAGATGTTATATGTTTTTTGGGGGTGCCACACTGGGGACTATGTGGCACCTGCTTGCAGAGTGCTGGTGTCCTTTAGGAGCATCTTCCTCACGGCAGGACAAAGTCAGCAGCAGATGCAAAGCATGGTGTCCATGTTAAACATCTTTTGTTTAGGAGAGAGTGCTATGGACAGTGGAAGAGCTGCCCAAGGCACATGGCAGGTCAAAGCAGGGGAGGCCGAATGGCTGTTGGTTCCTGTAATGAAATGTGTATTATTTTCTTCCTATACAGAAGCAGCAGGGCATTATATGTGGTAAATGCATTTAAAGCTCTCCATCAGTTTTTAATACAGGTGAAACAGGTCCTCCTAACTGCAGGTTTCTAATACAGAAACCAAAAGGGGACTGCCTGGGCTGAGAGGGCACCTATCCTGCACTGTGGGTGCAGGTCTGGTTCTGCAGCAGCTAGGCACGATTCCCTCCAAACTAGAGTGTGAAACACAGTAGTAATGTAGGAGGATTCAGGACATCTCTTTCCTTCCTAATGTAGGTGTACCCTCCAATTTGCTTGTACTGAAGTAAGACTGAACACATTCCTTCCATCCTCAGGACATTGCTGAAGAGCTGGGAGGAAAAAAGAGCTTTGCACCCCACAGCATTCTACCAGTGTCCAGGCATAACTCTGCTGTAGCACCAGCAAAGAGAGTAATGTCTGAGCAGAGCTGAGGGCAAGCTTATGCCCTGACAGAGACTGTTGTTTGGGGAGAGGCTTGTGTCAGTTTCCAGGGCACATTGTTTTCTGGTATCTGTCACAGGAGCTGTTATTCAGATTTCTTTTTCCTACTCTATTCTCTTTTCCAAACTAACACCTCTCATGTTGCATGGTACCTGCTTTCTGGTCCTTTCCAGCTTCTGGTTAGATATTTCTGTTTTCCAGCATATGCAGCCCTGAGTGTGGGGTGGGAAGGTCATTGTGGAGGTGGAGATACAGGAGGGGCACAGTGGGGCTGCAGATGTGTGTAACTGCATCAAGACTGTGTCATGCCATCCACCCCAGAGTCCAGCCACCAGGAATACCTGTTCCTGTGGCCAGCACATCAGAAAATATCAGACCTTGGATTCATGTGATCTGGCTCTCAAAGTCATCTTTTAGTTCTCTCAGAAATGTGTTTCTTGCTTCCCCATACAAACAAGAGCCTGGAAAGATGAATTTGAAAGGATCCAGAATCAGAAGTTAAATAAACAAATTCTGAAATTTTTAAAGATATCAAGACTTATAAAAACACATGACACTTCTCAGGCCACACTTTATACTTCTTTGAATATTTGGCAATATTGCTCTTTGCAGGTAACCTCATCCTTGTTTGTTTGTATTCATTGTCTAACACTGAGGAGAATTATTTATCTTACCTATGGTGAGGGACTTAAGTTCGATGTGGCTCAGTCATTATATCTCTTTTTCCTTCTCTAATTCTCTGTCCACAGTGTTATATTGTTCCTTTCTCTGTTGTTGCACTATTTAACAGTCTATTTCTGGGGCACTTTTCAAATGCTTTAAGAAAATCTAAGTAAATTCTATCCACCCAGTTACTGCTAGCAATTCCTTTAAAGCACAAACAAGCGATCTCAAAAGGACTCTGATGTGATTTCACTTTTAAACTCTGCTCATTTGACCTTGCAGAATTAGTCTTATCCTGATCCTGTACTGCTTTATCCTAAATTAGGCTCTCACTCAATTTTCTTCAGAACATAGAGATTTAGCTTATAAATCTATAGTTTCTACAACACCCTTTGTTCCAGTTTCAAAAAGAAGTTACTGACTATTAATTTTCCAATTTCTGTGGATACTCACTGTTTCTATGGATGCAGCACATACTGTATCCTTGCCAGTGTTGCCACTGCTTAATGCTGTTCTTTTCCAAAATGTCAAATGACTTCAGTTTCTCAGATTTGTCAGTAATTTTCCTCCCCATACTTTAAATGTTTTTCAGGGCAAGATTCCCTACTTTGTCCTGTGCTTTGTGGTTAGGGATGTCTTTATCTTTCATGGTAAAATATGGGTAATGGGCAGGAACAACTTTATTTCTAATTATAATTTCTGCTTTGATGAATGTTTCTGCCTGTCATTGTTAGCAGCTTGAGAACTTTTTCATTTCAAATAAATTTCTAAAAAATTTTGTTCTGTGATATGAACCTCTTTCTACCTAATTTCTCCTTATTCATTATTTTATCATAATTTTCCAGGTCCAGTTTATAATTCTAATGTTATCTGTAGTGAAAAAAGACAATAAATTTTTACAGAGATTTGAGTCAAGTTCACAAAACAACTTTTAAAAAATCTTTTTATATAGCTATCTTTTAATTGATCTTTTCTATATGGCTATTTTAAAGTTTTAGGCCAAGTCAGGCAAAATACTTCACCCCACCCCAAAACTGATCACTAAACATTATTAAGTCTGGTTTGGAGATTTGCCATATGTTTTGTACTAGATATACCTCTTTGACTCAATCAATGTTTCTTATCACTTCCCCTAAAAGGAAGATTAGAGAAATTTTCTGAAGTGTTGAAATGTCAGTTTTCATGTTCAGGCCCCAAAACTTAAGATTGCATCCTAAATAATTTAATATGTCATTCAAATGTGTTAGAGCTATAGTAGAGATACATTCATTTGAAGTTTTCCTTTGAAAGTAAGACGAAAGCCCAGCATTCTTGTCATTCTTCTGCAGTACCTTTTTATTGCCCATGATATATAATTTGAACTCTGTCATCCGCTGCCCTTTAATCCACCAGACTTTTTCTTAAGAAGCCTTTTTTCTTCATCACTGTGATCTCAAAATAAAAGACCTCAAAAGATTATTTTAGTTTTGACTTAGAAAACATCTTAGCTTCTATTTTGGAGGAAAAAAAAATGAATAAAAGTTATTTTTAATGTTTGTGTCACTTCAAGAAATCAAGACATAAACTTAATTTTGATTACTTTCCTGTGTAGTGACATTTACAAAACCAGTCTGTTCAATGTAGTCAAAATCTAGGATTCATCTTAAAAATATGGTACAAAAGTGTCATGCTTGTTGCCAGAAATGTTTGAATAACTTTGGGGACTAAATTTCCCTCAGATTTAAGGTTCTAGAACTCAAAACTGGAGTGTATATAGTTAAAACAAAACATATAATTTAATTATGCTATTAAGTATATTTTCAGATTGTTGTTCTAGAGTTGCAAGTATCTGGGAAGACTTCTGAAAAAGATTTCTGTTGGACAGTATATCAACAAGATATTTAATGTCTTAAATGAGGTGAAGCTAAAAAAATCAAACCAGATTAAAACACTTAGATCTTTGGTAATTATTGCCATGCTTTACTACAGCACACTTAATCTAGCCTGATTAGTAGCTGATGAAACAATTCATGGGTGCACAGGAAATTCTACGAGCGAGCTAATTTTGGGTGGGAGCAGCACAGAGTGCTTTTCACAGGAGGTTTTCAAAATTACCATAGAAGCTTCTCTCATCCCTCTTTTTCCCTTTGCAGATTGTTGGTGAAGAAAGAGAAGCTATATCTTTCCCTTTACTGCTGTCTCTGAAAGGGAAAATGCATGCTTCTGTACACAGAGCCTTCATGAGGAGGTGTCAGAGGTATCTGAATATAGTTCAGTGTAAACACAAGTAAAAAACAGCCTCTGATTGTCAGCAGGTCTTTATTTTCTAAAAATCCCTGTGCTAAAGCTTCCTCTTCCTGTTACTATTATTGTTAATATTCTTTTTTAAGGCACATCAAGATGGTGTCAGTCCTGCTAAGTTTGGGCGATGAAACAAACATCAGATAAAAGGAAGAGCTATGATATGGTCTAGGAAAACTCAAGGGATAAATCTGTCCAGATTCTGTTCAGAGGGAAGTTTTTGTTTTAAGAATAAGCTGTGAAAAACTTGAAACAAATGCCAGGACTGTGATCATTCCATGAATCATCTCTGAACCTTTGTTATATATGTGCCACCCACTTATTACCTAGCATGGTGTATAATTAGAAAGCTTGGCCTCTTGCAGAAAAGAAATCTTACTGTGTTTATAGAAATATCCATTTCCAATATGATTTCATTTACTGGTACCCACTTTGTTCCAACTATCTGGTCTGAAGATGAATTACCCGTTGGCCCCATTGTCAGAATGACAGCATGAAAGGGAAGCATGCGGTTGTAATAATAATGTGGTACATGTGTAGAAGGTCAGAGAAGAAACAGATTAACATTCCAGCAGATGATTTCCCTAGGGACAGCTCTTGAATGTATCAAAGGCCAAAGATCATGACACTGATAATGTGTCTAATGTTGTTGGCAAAACAGTTGCTTGAATTTGTCAGTTGTGTCGGTAATGCTTTTTCTCTTATTTCAATTATGTAGTGAAACCTGCTGTGAACACTGAAAAATTAGTTCCATAAATATTAGTCTAATTATATAGGTAGTAATGGTGTTTAAATCAACCAATTGTCTAGTCTCCATTATTTCACGTATTAAAATGAAGGAAAGTAAAACTAGTGGATTAACTGAAGAAGTTTTCTTTGTGACCCAAAATTTTGACATGGAAAAGTTCAGGAAATGTGTGAAACCTTTTTCATTGCAGAAAGTGTGTAGTGAATGCTGTGCTTCATTTACATCACAGGAAGTGTAAAAGATGGGAGGTCTGTGTGGATGAACAAATGGCTCCTAGCCAAACTCACAAACAAACCGGAACCATAAAGACGGTGGAAGCAAGGATGAGTAACCTGGAAGGAATACAAAAGCATTGTCTAAGCATCCTGGGATGAAATTAGAAAAGCTAAATCCCAAATGGAATTGAATCTGCAAAGACATCAAAGACAACAAGAAGTGCTTCTGTAAGTAATAGGCGACAAAAGGAAGACTAGGAAATATGTAAGCCCATTGCTCAATAAGACAGTGGACATGGTTACACAGGACATGGAAAAGACTGAAGTACTGAATGTGTTCTTCACCTCAGTTTTTACTAGCAAAACTGACCTTCAGGAATCCCAGGTCCCAGAGACCAGGGGGAAATGCTACAGCAAGGAAGAAGTACTCATGGTGGAAGAAGATCAGGTCAAGGAAGACTTCAGCAAACTGGGCATACGTAAGTCCATGGGCTTTGATGGGGTGCACTCACAAGTGCTGAGGGAGCTGACGGCCACTCTCAATAATCTTTGATCAATTAAAACAACCAGGAGAAGTATCTGAAAACTGGAAGAAAACAAATATCATCCCCATCTTCAAGAAGGTCAAGAAGGAGGACCCAGAGAACTATAGGCAGGCCAGCCTCACCTTGATCTCTGGGAAAGTCGTGGAGCAGCTAATCCTGGAAACCATTTCTAGGCACATGAAGTACAAGAAAATCATCAGGAGTAGTCAGCATGGCTTCACCAAGGGGAAGGACCATGAAGATTATGAAGGGACTGGAGCATCTCTCACATGTGAGGAAAAGCTGAGAGACATGGGACTGTTCAACCTGGAGAAAACAAGGCTCAGGGGTATCTCGTGAATATGTACATGGGTAGGAAAGGAGGTTGCAAAAAGGATGGAGCCAGGCTCTCTCTGCTGTAGCCCAGTGACAGGATAAGACACACTTTTTCACTGTGAGGGTGGCTCAGCACTGGCACAGGTTGCCCAGGGAAGCTGTGGAATCTCTGTCCTTGGAGATATTCAAAATCTGTTTGGAGATGGTTCTGTGCAAGCAGCTCTAGGTGTACTGCTTGAGTAGCACGTTTGGACCAGACGACCTCCAGAGGTCCCTGCCAACCTCAGCCATTCTGTGATTCTGTGATTTTGTGAAACTATAATGTTTGGACAAAAATGCTTTTTAAAAGTACTCTAGTGTCAGAAGTTACTGGAAACAAACGAACAAACAAACAAACAAACAAACAAACAAACAAACAAACAGCTTTCTGGGCTTCAATTCAAGTAGGCCTTCCTGGTAAGTAAAAAGACATTTTCCCTATCTGCCAGACTTGCCAAACCTAAGTGGAGGTCTGAAATTCAAGATGAATGCTTTAGTAGTTAAAAAGGTGTTTGAAAATGATTGAGACTAGAAACTGCTAATCGACTCTTTTAATTAGCTTAAGGTGCTGAGATGAAAGTCAGTCCTTTTCATGCCCCTGGCTGTTTTCACTGTGTGTGGCACTTCCTTCCCCTGCAGATGGGACATAGGTGTGCCTAACCAATACTTCATTATACAGAAACAGAAAAACTGATTCTCGATTCATTTCAATATATGACATATGGGCTGGAGCGAACAGCACTCACATGTTCAAATAGCCCAAAGCAAGTAGTTTAATAGATTCCATGACTACTTGATGAATCTGAACACAAAAGAGGGGCCAGAGGGACTCTGGCAAGAAGTGGCAGGAGGAAAATGAAGCAGGGACGTACCATGAACCAAAGGTTTTCTGCTGTATCTTAAAATATTGGTATGTCTGCTCTGCTGAATGTACTGTTTCTTTTAAAAGCTTCTGGAAATACTCTTACAAAAATTCAAAACACAGCCACAAATCATTTATAGGAGACAAAAAACAATAAGTAGTGTCAGCATAGAGGAATATATTTTACTTGGCTGTGCCAGAAGGAATTATGGTGGGCTGTGATGAGTGGAATATAAAGTAACATAAGTTGCCTGTTGACAACAGGGTTTGAAATTATAAAATGCAAACCCAATATATTTCCCTCACAGTATCAAACAGCTGGGATTTTTTATACCTAGTAGCAGAATACCATGCCATTTTTCAGAGCCCCATAATTCTGTAAGTATGTTTAAGTACATGCTGTTATTTATTTTCTTTGTTTATTTGGTTTCAAATATTGCATAGTTTGTGATGCACTGAGATGCAAATACAATAGTGGTCAGCATTTTGTTAAAAGCTGTTATCATAGATGATTTTCTGGTCTTAACTTTGATTTTGGTCATTAAGAGGGTTGCATTTAATATACTAAAATAGCTAGCAATAATACCACCCTGTTATGAATCATCACTGAGCTAAAAAAATCCTGCAAGAATCTTATTTTTTCATGCTATTTAAAAATCTAATTATAAAAATAAGTCTTTATGAGGAACCGACAGCAGCCGAATTCAAATAAGAGCTTTTCAAGTGACAGATGGTAATAAGCAAGTCAGACAGTTAGATGATGGTTTATGTGCTAGACATTATAGGTGTTGTAACTATTGACCCATGTTAATGTGGTTACTCTGGCAAATAAAATGCAGGAAACAAAGCTACCTTGAACGACTCTTATCCTGGCTGCTGATTAGTTCAATATCTGTCAGTCAGCAGCAGCATCTGGTCAGCTGCCAGATCTTAAACCTTTACCACCTTGTCTTTTCCTTTTCAGTCCCTCTTCTACCTGCTTTGCCATTCTTGTAGCTGTCCTCTCAATATGTCTGTTTATTACCACTTTGATGTTTTTTGTATGGAACCTGATTCTGATGAGTACAGCTATTAGGGTCCAGAGGAAACAGAGGTGGTAGGGAAGGTATTTATCTCATCTTTCAATAAATGAATGAGTCTTTTGTCTACAAGGAACTCTAAAGGCCTTGTACAGAATGGTGTCAAAAGAAAATTAGGTGTAGTGATAGGAAAGGCAGCTGGGATAGTTGTGGGGTTTGCCACCCGTATGAGCCGGACCCATCACCCATAATTGTAACACTGGGGGACAGTTAACAATCTGTAACCTGGAAACCTGTGATTCAAGTGCAGTGGAAACATCTGGGAATGACAAATACTTTTGAAAAAATTCAGCCTTGGTGTGTGAAATATTTAGCTTCACAAATATCTGAAAAAGGGCAAATTTTTCCACCCTTTGTAGTAATTACACTAGGATATGCAGTTAAAACACAGCCGTAGTGGAGGTTCTACACACTGTAGCTTTCTGCCATGTTGTTTTGCGTTGAATAAAGCTGGCATGGCTTTTGGGTCACTGCCAGCTATGGGAAGTATGCCTACACTGCAGAAACGGGCTGTTAGTAAGTGAACCAGCAGGATTACAGCATTTCCTCAGTAATTATGATGGGGTGATTATGATGCTCTCTGGCCACATCTCTCCTAGTTAATCCATGTTATTGAAACCAGACCATAGGAATGTCAATTCCAATCTTTCCAGGAGAGAAAGTGAATGTTAACTGTCTATCAAAGTTGTGCTTTCTAAATTGGCTGCCCATGTACATCAGGAAGTTGTAGGGTGTACGATGGAGTGCTGAAGATGTGGATGGCATTGCAAGACATATGTTTTAGAGAGCCACGTCAAACAGCATTGAGCAGATTCAACACTTATGCTGCCTGAGGGGTACCTGAACACCTGGAAGAAGCATGCCCATTGCCAAAACAAGCTCAAGATGGTCATAATGCAGGAAGTACTGTCTGGGTCCTGTGACATAGTATGACATCATATAACATGTCCAGGTAAAAGTTTGTGATTTAATTTTTCAGTCCTTTGAATTCCCTCAAAATCAGAAGAATAGAATTAATTGCCTCTGCATTACCATAATGATACACCCCCTTCATTATTTTCCCCCAGTGCTGATTGCCCTTGCTGCACATTACTTTTTCCCTACTTTCTAAAATTATTCCTACGTTAAACGAAGATGAAGAGACTGAGTCAGCTGCAGTCACACAAGATTCAGTGAGAGTATACACAATCTGATTTTTGGTGATTGAAATCAAGCTGGTGGTGCATGTGGATCTTAGCATCAATACAGTGGCATTAGTGGTGCTTATAATTGTTGCTACTGTTTTGGGTTTTTTTTGTGAAGTAAATTTAAAATAAAATTTTAAAAGTGAACATTTTAATGCATATTAAACTAACAGCATTGGGATTTGCTGTAACCTAGGCTGTGACAAGCAAACTGTTGTATAGAGCATGGTCTTTAGCCACCTTGTTGTCAAACAAGCAAGTTCCTTGCATAGATGGGAGAAATCAAACATATAGGCATAACACATAAAAAAAACCCACTTATTTCACAGTAGCCACCAGCACAGTTACTAGAGCCCTCATCTAGGACACTGTGATTGAATGATTAGTTGGAAGGGGATAGAACTTCTTCACATCTGTAGTGGGGATAATGAAAGATAAAAAGGATTAGTTGTTAAGGTACGGGGAAGTGTGTTGAGAAGGCTATTTTAGCAGAGTATGTTCCCTTTCAGAACAGTTTGAATAAATGTCTTGCTGAGAAAGGCACTTGAATTTGTGATCAAACTGTGGGAAGGAAAAAAAAAAATCATCCCACTGGATATTTAATTCAGTGTCCAGACAATTTATGTGTCTGTGGTGTACTCAGACTGGGGACAAAGTAATAGCAAGGTCACCTGTCTCCTAAGTGAGGACTCTAATCACTGTGAAAGTGGTTGTTTTGAACTAAATGAGGTCTTTAAGGACATGAAGTTTGATTTCCCATTTCCCTGAAAAAATACAATTATTTCATAATATAACTATATATAAACAATACATACGTATTTCTGAAAGATACTGATGTAAAACAGGTTAGTGTCCCACAGGATAGAAAGCAACTTCCTGTGAATAATACTTAGAGACGAACTTATTTCTCTGTTATTTTCCCTTGTTTGCCTACTATTTTCAGGTAGCTTTGGGCAGAATGAGTCAGCAAGGGGATGCCCACACTGAACTCAGCACTACCATTTCACCTGAGATGGCTGTAGCCAAAAAGAGAGAAAGAAGATACATTGTCAGATGTAAATCCTAGTGAAATACTGAGGAAATTAAATCAGGTTAGAGGAACAAGGACATATGGTCTCCCGCATCTGTTAAGAAGGAAGGACAGGTAGGTAGGTAGAAAATAAAGGTAATTGCTCCTAATGGAAGGTTGTATCCAACTCTGTTAAATCTGTGTGCTGAGTTTGTGTTTCAGGATTTTTG